TCATCAGCATTGATGACTCTTACTAACACATCATCTACAATCCTAAGCTTGTTGAAGTTCTTATACATGATTCTGTCATAATCTGCAATCATGGTTTCCTTCTTGGGCTTAGTGCCATTCTTGATATGCCCTTTCCAGGTAGATATGCTAACATCTCTCTTTTGTATATCATGCAGATCAATACGCTGGAAAGGATCCGATGGCTGTAGCTGGTCACAAGATGTTATGGTCACTGGCAATGACTCGATCAGAGGTTGGCCTTGTTGTAAGTCACAAATGGCTTTTACTGTGTCGCAGTCTATGACCTCTGGGAGTCTTGACAACCCATCAGCATCAGCGTTGTTCTTGCCTGGCTTATATGTGATGGTGAAATTGTAGGCTGATAAAGCTGCAATCCAGCGATGACCAGTAGCTTCTAGCTTAGCTGTAGTCAGGACATAGGTCAGAGGGTTATTGTCTGTAAAGACGGCGAAGGTGTTGCCCATAAGATAGTCCGTGAACTTTTCAGTGATGGCCCACTTCAGAGCGAGGAACTCTAATTTATGTGTCGGATAGTTCCGCTTGGATTTAGTTAACCCACGGCTGGCATAGGCAATTACCCGGTCATGTCCATTCTGATTCTGGTAAAGAACCGCACCCAACCCTGTTCCGCATGCATCCGTGTGGAGCTCAAATGGCTTGGAGAAGTCTGGGTATCCAAGGACAGGTGGAGATGTCAATTTTTCCTTCAACACAGAAAATGCTGTCTCCTGTTCTTGATCCCATTTCCACTTGGAAAGCTGCTTGGTATTGGGGTTGCGACTCTTCTTACCAGTTGCCATGACATCAATCAGGGGGCCGGCAATTTTGGAAAAATTCTGTATGAACTTCCTGTAGTATCCTACGAAGCCTAAGAAAGATCTTACATCCTCAGGGTTCTTTAGTGTTGGCCAGTTTCTCACTTTCTCTGTCTTATCTGGGTCTGCCTGGACACCTTCTTCTGACACTATGTGGCCGATGTACTTGACCTTGTCCATCAGGAATGAGCACTTCTTTGGTGACAGCTTTAATCCATACTGTCTAATCCTGGTAAAAACTTGGCTGAGTCTCTCCAAATGCTCTTCAAAAATTCTTGAAAATACATGTTTTATCAGGTCGTCGAGATAAATGAAACATATCTTCAAGTGGTGTTTTTAAAAATTAGAGCATCATGATTGTCTTGAGAATGCTTCTTGAATCTATCAAATACCCACCACCTTCTGTGATAAATTGGTGTTTTTAAAAATTAGCCATCTTGGATTTTGGTATCGAGCATCAAATATTCAAATTATCTTTCCCTACATGTACATCTCAGCTACATTTAGACCAACAACAAAACGCTCAAGATTGTAGCCATTTCATCACAGACTAGATACATTATTCCTGGAGTATTACTTCTCAAAGTTCATGTTGTTGATGGTTTTATGCAAATCCTTTAATTCATAAATGAATTTTTATTTAGGAAGTGAAGCTTACCCACTGGATAATTACAAAACTTACTCAGCTCTACAAATCCACCCCTCTTATTTGGATAAGAAGAACAGCACCTAGCCTTCTCTTCTATTTTATCCTGAAATACCCCTTGCATTGACCTTATAAAGGTAACCTAATAAACTAGAGCTTTAATTGGTCAATGCCCTAATAAAACCAAGAACATGTATTCGTTCATTCTAAAAGCATTGAAACATCATGTGTATTGCAATATTATGCTATGGCGCTTCAGTTTCACCTAAAGAGATGTGCTTAAATTAGGTTTAAAATAGCTTGTTTTTGGTGGTCAGATGTATATATGAATATGTTGAAGGATAAACAAAATACATGGTAACTGCCTTGAAATATAAGCAACATTTGAGTTTGGATTGAAAACGTGATGGGGGGCTCCATAAGCTTCTCCCTCTATCACATTTTTTTACCCTCGCCCAAATAAGGCTTATATTTTAAGATAGTAACCATGTTTTTTATATACAAGTAAAATATAGAAATATTTTTACATCATTTTTAGACGGAGGCTTAGCCTCCGCTCTATTGGTACCGCTCAGCTGCGGCGGAAGGGAATTTGCGATCGCCATCTAGCGGCTAATCACGTTAACTTTGATTAGCTTGGTCCCCCGGCTCATCCTTTCCAAGGCAGGAGTACATGAAGCAAAACAGGGACAGGGAACCAGGCTAAACTTTGATAAACTGGCCTGCCTGTCTGATATCGGATATGTGCTGTATACAGACAGGTGATCAGTAATGTTTAGAGTCCGCTGCTGACACGCTCATTGGCTGATAAAAACTCTCGCTGACATAGAATTTAAATTGTCGGGGAAACCAAAACAGATCACCAAGTGCAGTTCTCTGCATCTGCTTTTGATGCAATTAATCTAATTCGGTCACAATATTTTCCACATACAATACATAATTCTTTTTTTTCTCATGGACCTATAATTATCTCACACCTTTCACCTCACCTGGGGGATTTTAATTAGTTTGCGAAGGTCCTATCACATTAATATCTTACATTACCTAGATAGAAGAAATCTGCATCATTGTTTCATTGAAACTGACATATTTTAAATGTTCACTCACTGACTCAGCAGAGAGCTGCGGCTTGTCTGTTTATAGCTCTGCTGCATCTATTTTTAGAATTCCTTATCACATGTTTCAGAAGTTAGATGGGACAAACTGACCCACATGTTTCTATGTTTACACCTGACCAAAACCAAAACAGTGGCTTGAATCTTACTTTGTGGTGTAAATTTAGTAATATTATGGCTAACCTGTGCAAAAAAGGATGCAATAAAACAATGTTGTCGTGGAATCTGCAATAGTGACTCAAAGTATGCCCACAAAAAATATATGCAAGGAGTTGAATTTATTAGGTTTCCCAAACCTTGGATAGATATTGAAAAAGTGTCAAGGATGGGTGAATGCTTGTAAACGGTTCATTGGCGGATCCAAGGGAGGGGGGGTCCGGGATTTGGAAGCCCACTTTATTTTCTGTCTAGTGGAGAGAGAGAGAGAATGAAACATTTTCCGAGAATAAATAAAAATACATATATTTGTACGTCTAACTTATGTATTGAATAGATAGATTCTCATACATTAATTTTCTTCCACTCACTTTTCTTTCAAATGATATGATTAAAACGGTTCTATATTATATGAACCGTTTTAATCATATCATTTGAAGGAACTAACATGCAACTCTTTGTTTTAAACCCAACCCGCACCCACCACGATTTTTTTTTTCAAACTCCAAAAGAAAATTCTTTGTACTCTTTGGAAATGCTGCAAATCCATTCAATTTTAATTAAGGCTTCAGCATTTTTTTTTATTTTTTCTTTAAATTCGGACTGGGGGACCAAAGAAATAAATGGACGTAAACAGATATTATTTACCGAAACCTAAGATCTTCCATACGTGTGTGTGAATCTTTGCTTGAGAGTAAGTATGGGGGGTGGGGGTTATATGGACAGTACAACCCTGGAACCCCTCTTTCAAGAGTGGCTGGATCCGCCTCTGAAACGGGAAGGATTTTCAACGAAAATGGGTATTATCCGTAAAATCGTGTATAATACTGGATATTAGGGTATCGTTGAATCCACAATATCTAGTCAAGGCGGTGTAATCACTTTATAAAACTTGAACAATGGGATGGCATATTTTGCGGAGTCAACTTTCACCTAGATGCAAATGTTTCTAAAGGTATCACCAGTCAAGTAAGAATTTGGAAGTCAGGATTAATGCGCACTGGACAACAAATACCTGTAGAGCTTAGTACATTTCAAGATCTGCACCCAAACAGGTGTTTGTTCTGCTTGATACTTTTCATAATGTTGGAAATATTTGGATCTTCTTTATGTTCATACCTAACACAACAGAACTATTAATTAAAAGTTGAATGTGCATGTAGATCTATGCATTGTTATATCTGAATGCTTGTATCTCAGCTCCTTTTAGTCCTGAAGAGTTAGAGATACTAAAGTACTTTTTGGCTTTCTCACATTTCAGGAAGCTCTTACCACGAGTCACTAAAGAATTGAAATTGATATAGTTTATTGCAATTAGATTGTTTTGTCCTTTTGATGAAAAATAGGAATTCAGTAAATTACATAATTAAACATTAGACCACGGTAACATAAATGAAGAAGATGTGTTTGTGAAACACTGTTGCCCCCCCCCCCCCCCTATATATCCCTTACCATTCAAAAGTCATGGCCAAGGTTAAAGTTTTTTCAGAAGTATAGAATATCGAAGGTCAAGGTCAAAAGGTCAAGTTTGTTAATATCCAATGAAAAGTCTTTCCACAAAAAAAAGATATATGAAGTATTAATGTCCTGGTACCTACTTTTCAAAAGATATGGCCAACTACCCTTAGGCAAATGTTGGGGTCAGAATATGAATAAAAAATTCCCAAAGAGACAAACAATCATGTTCATTCCAAGCCTCCGTCTATCAGTACTTTCAGTACTTTGATTTAATTAAGGCTTCACATCACAAACACAGTATTTAATCAATAAAGAAATATCAATCAAATCATAAAAACAACATTCAGATCACTGAAGAATCAGCTGATTATCTTTGGAATTCTACGTTCTAAGACTATAATAACAATCTCATTCCCTAACAGGTGACATATAAAACTTAATAACTGAAAGTAGAATATCCTTAGACAAATACTTCTTATAAAAATCGAAGAAAAGCACCATCTATTTTTAATTTTACTGTTATTCTAAACTTTAGATATTAACTGGCAAATAAGCCCCATTTTTTCAATAAAATGTCCCCAAGCAAATTAATTAAGGATATGCATGTACAAGTAAATGAAGTTTAAAACTTCTATCTAAAATAAATCGTCACCTTGGCAAGAGTAATCTACCTTTAATAGATAAAAAAAATTATACCATGTATTTGAGATTCATTTATATTGCTTATTTGTACATCATAAAAACAAGTTTTTGATAAAAACAATCACTATTCAATTGCACCACATAATATACTTAGCCGGTAATAACAAAGCATATATTCTGTTGAATATTTTTCTGTTATTTTCAGTGTTTTATTTTCTATTTTAAACAAGTAACCAACATGCGAGCTTCGAAATTTTGATATTAGTGGATTTGTTTGTTCAACTCTTCATTACATATATACTTTTAATTTGTGAAGGCTTGGTTAACATTTAAATAAAACATGCATGTATAATTTTTTTTCTGGAATAAATTTTTTTTACAGATCTCTTGATTAAGAGTTGCCCAATGATTAAAAAACTCATTTATTTCAATCGTCAATTTAGATCTCGACTTGATGATTAGGACTCTTTCATTTTTGAGATTTAAAAGATAAAGAGGTACTCCTAGGGTCATTGGATATTAATGAAATGTTCCTAGGCTCTAAAAAGTTCCACAAACATACCCTTGGTATATACCGATCTTAGTCTTTAGATCTTTGGAATTGCAATAAAAATAGAAAAAGATCACCATGATCACTGCATATATCAATATAAACACAAAAGTCGCTGATTTCACATTGAAGGGTCCATATATACTTCTAGTACCGTACATGTAGATATTGTACAACTTAATTACCAGTATACAACATGTACAATAGATACTGGGTGTTGAATGGCTAAAAAGATACATATGCCAAGAAAAATAGCAGGTGATTGATTGGCAAGCGTTATAACAAGCTGCTAATGATGACAAGTACATGGAATAAGTTAACACATTGCATTGAAGTGCTTAGGGTTTCATAAGTTGTAAAAATACACGAACATATGAGAGCAGGCAAAGTACAGTGACCTTATCATTCAGTTATGTCACCTTCATATTGGACAATCTCTTGGTACGAAGCATCAGTAAGAGTAAAATAGTAAACATGAAATGGAGCAACTACGTAACAACAAAATAAAAAGTATTGGCTTAAGCTTAGGTAAAGATTAACATTGAAAAGATTCAATTTGGAACCTAAAAATAAGAAAAGGCTGAGATATAAATGCATCAAAATAGAGTATAAATGTTTATACAACCAAAACAAACAAACAAACAAATCAAAATAAATACAGTCTGTATAAAAGAAAAAAAAAACCAAAGATTACAGCATTATATTGCACACAACATTGAGTTTGACTTCATTTAAATCTTAATGGAATGATTGCTGAAAATAAATAAAAACAAATCTATTTTTAACACTTCCTTTAAAAATAAAAAAGGGGTTTGGGGTCTGGTATATTTAATTTTTCACAACATATGTTCAAAATATTGGGTTAAGATTAATTGCAATGATTAACTTGTCAGTTCTATTAAACTTGGTTCAGACAGCTGTATTGACTGATGATCATACATGTACAAACTGATATCTTAAGTTCTTCATTAATACCTATAATATTCTACAAATGACCATTTACTGTGTAAGTTTCATTTGTTTTTCATAGAACAATTGACTCTGTTACTACATGTATATATCAGTACACTGTGTACTATATTTATAAATTCTATGCAACCTTTTTAATGCAGTGTTGTACCTGCTTTACAGTTGATTCCAAATCAAGAGAGAGAACTCTTCATACTACACCATATACAAATAGTGTATGGTTACAGATTATATTTAATCTATAGTCTCCTTCTAGTACATACTAGACTTCCACATATATAGAAAATATATATTCATAAAATAATCTCTTTTTTCTTTAAAAATAAAAAAACAAAAACATTATACAACACATCTGTATATATTTGTAGGTACTATGCAAACATAGTTAGGATTTCATTCTCAAAAGAATCAACAAATGGTATTTAGTCTAAAATTGGAATCATTAAGTTTGGTGAGCAATATAACCCTGTTATTATCAGTATAGGCGACTCCAGATCATAATTGTACATGTATTAATTAGTATTACTGTTGGTGCACATGTTCTGCAAGTCAAATTTTATTGCAAGCATAAGACTTAACATCTTTTGTGAATAAAGAGCTATTCAAGTCCTGCTAACATAGAGTTATACCTCATTATAATTCTGACCTATGGCAGTAAGGACTAGACAATAAATGGTAGAATACATGGATTATACAGAGCTGAAGGAATTATGAATTTATTGTAATGTGTGCATGTTTTCTTTTTTGTGTTGTAAATATATATAGTTTACTGTCAATGAAATAAAAAAAAAGGGTATGTTCTTAAAATCAATACATCAAACACAAACATATCACAATTTCAAAAACTCCAACATCCAAAGTGAGCTATTTTACAACAAGCAAAATAGTCAACAATATTTTGCTGACCTTTTGTGACCAGTAAACCTCTGTTAATTCAAACAAAATGTTGGAACAAGTTTTTTCAATTAAAAATTTCACATTCATCTAATACAAAATTCAAAAAAAAAAAAAAAAAAATACAAATAAATTTCAGATCTTTTCTGCTAGTCTCAAGTCTGTACAGGAAATCCATTCGTACGTTGAGAAATGGTTGAGACTGTCTCATCTCATGAATGGACTGGAAACTGCTTCATCTCTTGGGCAGCAATTGAGTCCATCTCGTCTCTTGCCCTCAATTTTTGTCGTTTTCTCTCGTACAGATTATGAAAAACTAGAAATATCACAATCACATTCTTTACAGGAAATATGGAGATTTCTTTACTCAGAGCGTGCCATAGAACTAGCCTAAACACAAGTAGTGGCAGGTTGACAACAAAAACGAGCGAGAGCTTGTGTAGCAGGATGATGGATTCCTGACGGACATGATGTCCAAAGTGACTACGGCTCAGAGAACACAATGGCAGGACGGGCAGAATTAGGTTTAAACAAGATATACTGATTATACATAACCCCATGCCATTAGGCAGGTCATCAATGTCTTCTCTCTCAAACATAATGTCCAAAGCATCAACAGAATCTAGAATATCAAACACAACCGTGGCGGTCATTTCCTCTATATAGTGGCGTCTTTCAGTGTTACACTCAGCATCATGGTGACTCATCAGTAACAACAGAAATATTATGGCCGCAAGAGAAATAGTGATTTTTAAAGTATTCGGTCCAAATGCATCTTCTTCTTTCAGTTTCCAGGCAAAGTCATTGAAAATGATTCCAACCCTTCCAGCTAGAGCTAACGAGTAAATAAACCAAGCGAAGTATCCCAGAGGGAGGCTGCCTGCCTCGATTGGTCGGTTACTGGTGCTGGTCTTCCGGATATACTTTAAATGTCGGTAAGATATCATAAATGCCACAAACAGAACAAATCCGATGGCTACATCCGCACCTATCCAGCCGTACCAGTAAACATTTTTGTGGGTCACCAGGTAATAATCTAGTATCCCTCCCTGGATGAGGACCAGCAAAAAGCAGGCGATTCGTGACGGGAGCTGGTACATGGACTCGCACATCTGGATACACACGTTGCCACGGCTGGCCATGGTCTCTTTTTTTTTTTTATTTTACTCACTTACTTGTAAATTCCCTTACTTTGATGGGCTCAATACTTTTGTCTACCAGAACATTGTTTGTTTCATGTACTTTGAAATTTCAAAGAAGAAATCTGAAAATTTAAAGAAGAAAATAATTCAAGTTAAGGACCAAACAATAACGATAAAGGCATTTACAGTTGTTAAAAAAGAACAGCTTCTCAAACAGTCAAAGAAGTTTACAGATCATAAAAACTACTTTTCCTTTGCTCCCCTTGTACCAAACACATACATGCATATTATATGTTTGTCCAAGTGAGGTAAGGAGATTTCTGAAGAATCCATCAACATTGGAGATTTCAGATCACTGAGAATATATACTTAAAAGGGATTTTAAAAAGTCCATTTTTTTAAGTTTCTTTCACTCTGCCTTATGATACTTACTGCCACTGATTGAGATTTGAAGGTGAAAATTTTCAGAGGTTACCAATGCACAACAAGAAAGAAATATTGAGCCTTTTAACATTTTTGTTGGGCTCATTCCTTCTCAACTACATTCGAAATCATCAGGAAGTTTCCTCTGCTTGGTTGACTAATTCTCAACAATTAAATCTTGACATTATAATAACTTCCTCCTTTGAAATTCTAAACTAAGCCATGTAAATGGAAATGATCTATTTCACTTAATTTCCTCTTATTTGTTAAGTAATATGAACTGTACACAAAAAGCAAAGCTAAAAGGTCTTCATGTGTCTGTTCAAAATTACCGAGGGTAAATTATTAACATCATAAATATGACAGACATACATGTAAATCTATCATATCTATGAGATTTTTTTTAATTTTTCTAGTGATTTAGCATTTTTTCAAACATGAAATTGACAGGATAAAGCCCGCAATAATCCCGTCTTTTCACACACCGTATCATGTCCGCATGCCAAGGGATTATGAGGATTATGAGGAGAGATGCGTATCAGAAACCCTTGGCTAGCGAAGGTGGCTTTTAAATTTATGATTTTTATATTTTATCAAAAAGAAACATCAGAACCAGCACAAATGAAAACTGGAAGTTTGCCATCTGCAAAGGGGGAAAACCTTCTTGCATCAATTTTCAATACTTTTAATGTCAACTGTAAAGTTCAAAACGCTATTTTTGGCAGGTCCTAGTTGACAAACTACGAAAGCCCATTGAGCTCATTTTGGTAGGTTAAAAAATATATAATTTTCGCCTTAAAACGCGAAACTTTCGCGATATAACGAAACTTTTGCGTTATTACGCGAAAGTTATGCGTTTATTCGCGAAAGTTTCGCGTTTTAAGGCGAAAATTATATATTTTTTAACCTACCAAAATGAGCTCAATGGGCTTTCGTAGTTTGTTAACTAGGACCTGCCAAAAATAGCGTTTTGAACTTTACAGTCGCCGGGGAAGGGGGAGGGGCTATTTCAACAGAAAATTGTTAGAAATTCTGCAAAGGTAAGTGATAATATTATTTGCATGGGGCGCCGTTTTAATATTTTCAAGGTATTTTCTGATATCAAAAAATCATTTTATGAAAACAGAAATTCGACTTTTTGATAAAAAAAAATCGATTTCTGATATCAGAAAATATATTTTTTTATATCAGAAAATAAACAAGATTTTTTTTATATCAAAAACTCGATTTTCTGATATCAGAAAATCATTTTTTTGATATCAAAAATTCTAATTTCTGTTATCAAGAAATCATTTTGTGGTATCAAAAAATCTTTGGGATTTTATGATATCAAAAAATGTCATTTCTGATATCAAGAATTCTTGATTCTCTTTTTTGATATCGAAAAAATGATTTTCTGATATCAAAAATTCGATTTTTTGAAAATAAATAAGATTTTTTGATATGAAGAATTCGAATTTTTGATATCAGAAAATGATTTTCTGATATCAAAAAATCTATTTTCTGATATCAAGAATTATTTTTTGATATCAAAAAATATTTTTTGATATCAAGAATTCGAATTATTGATATCAATAATTTCTTTTTTGATATCAGAAAATACCTCAAAATTATTAAAACAGCGCCTCATACATTTGCGCTCAATTTCCAAGATAATAATAATTGAATGTTATCTATAAATGTTTTCAAATTAAAAAAAAAAATTGGTAAGTTAATTGGTAATTTTTTTGTTTGAACGAAAATATCGGTAACATACACCATGTATATCTACAACTTATATCGTATTATTATCTCAGACAAGACATAACTATAAGAATCACTAATACTGAAATATTTTCTGCCATACAACCAGGGAACGTAGCATCATTTTTAAAAAGGGGACAAAAAATCAAATTATCTGAGGAATAAAATAAAGTGCCACGCCACAGCATGATACGCCCGTCAAAAAATTACAATTAACTTAAACAGTTTAGAGTGCAAGAAAATCATGTAAACCTTGATTCTAAAATTTCCATGATTTTTTTTTTATTCCTTAAAATATTTGTTTATCCATCGATATCCCCTGTGGTGTAGGCATTAATTATAACAAATTACATCATTGATAGATTTCTAAACTGGTTGTTTTAGACCTTGTCAAATGCCCATCATATTAAACAATATCAAATTAGTCTTAACAACTTAATCTATACCAAATTAATTTTGAAAATAAAAGGCTGGGCCATCAAATGACATATGCTATTTAAACTGACCAGCAGTTCTTCTGTCTAATTCTCAAAGGATACAGATAAGAAGATGCTAGCTAGCCTTCCTAAATTGAACTCATTAATTAATCTTTGACTGGATGCTTGTCTACTCATTACTATAGATGAATGAATCTGCACTATCTACCATAAAATATTTTTGAAACATATAAAATATACAATGATTTTTTTTTAACATTTTAATGTCAGAAAGGTTTTAATATGCAATTTCTATGGAAAATGGACATACTGATTCCAACCCTATGAAATTAGTTTTTTAAATTAATAATATTAAATAATATTAGATTAGTTTATTATGCAATATCAAATTAGTGTTAATTACTTTTCATCAAAATCATTTTAAAACTTAGGCTAGCCAACAAGAGCTATTTTTAATCCAACAGGCTTACCCATCTGCCCAATTCCCAAAGGGATACAGATAATACCGATGCTCTCCAGTTTGCTCCTCACACTAAACTCATTAATTTCTCTCTAATTTGACATGCAATTTTCTGTTATCAAAACTCTTGACCAGTGCTTGATAATTACACTCATGGGAGACATGGGATTTCTCTAACATACATAATATCTGTTATAGATTGCTGTCAAGTATATGCTGAAAAAAATAAGTATTTTCTTGATTTAACACTTTTTTAATAAGGATACAACTAAAATTTTGCATTTTTTAGGATTATGAAATTCAAAATTTAAAAGACTTAGTTTTTTTAAAAAATTCACTTAAATTAAAGGTCACAGTGACCTTGAAATAGGTCGCGACACACCTTCTACCCAAGATGTATACAGTTGCCAAGTTTGATAGCTCTAGGTCTAATAGTTTACTAGTTATGAGCCGGACAGGATTTTTCCATATTTGGCCATAGCATCTTAATTAAAGGTCAGAGCGACCTACTTTTTGTGCGCGACACACCATCTACCCAAGAAGTATCAGTTGACAAAGTTTGATAATCCTAGGCCTATTAGTATTGAAGTTATGAGCCGGACAGGAATGGACAAATTGGAATGGGTGACAGACGGACGGACGGACACGAAGCCTATAACATAATACGTCCCGTCTTAAGACGGGCGTATAAAAAAATATTAAAAAGCTATTATTCCCCGATACTTAGATTATGGGGACATAAGAAAAACCCAAAGCAAAACCTTTTTCATGGGGGTGATAATTTTTCATTATTAACTTTCCATACCAACTTAACAAAGATCCACGTTTTCAAGGAAATATGTTTCTAGAGGGTGCAAGGTATCTTTTTTGTAATGACTAGATGCAAACTCAATGCCCCCCCCCCCCCCCCCCCCCTCCCCCGATCTGCGCGTGACTTAAAAATTATGTAAATAAAGTAAGGTTGAACCCGATGAAATTTCTGTGCGAAGTCGAAATTGACAGTTGCACAGACAACAAGAGTTCGCGTTTTTATTAATTTAACCGAAATTTTCAGTTAATTATTAATAAAAAAATACGTAAAACCTATAATAATAACAGGTATTATAGGTATTACGTATTTTTTTAATTTACTGAAAATTTCGGTAAAATTGAAAGGTACGCGAACTCCTGTGCACAAACAAGGGGCAATTTTTCCTGTTTTCTGCTGTAGGAATTAGAAATATGTGACTACAAATTATAGGGTCGTCGGACTACCGGGCTGTCGGACTATTGAACCGTCGGATTACCGGGCTGTCGGACTATCGGACCGTCGGACTAGCGGGCTGTCGGACTACCGGGCTGTCGGAATACTGGGCGGTTACCGTCGTGAGGAATGTTTAAAAATTGTTTTGTTGTGGAAGAGTGAAAGAATGTGTTAGAGATGCAGGGTTAGGTATAAGATAAGATAATTTAGATAGGATAATTTTTATTTTCCAATTTTGGGCCCAGAAGGAATAAAGGTTTTTTACAATGACAAAATGGAAAGTTCTGAAAGAAAGGTTACATACACAAAAATAAACACACACACGTGAATACATTTATATATATATTTAGATTGCAGTTGAAAAACCCAGAAAAATAAATTGAGATTCAGTGTCATTTTTTGTATGCAATAAATATTCACTTTTTTGTCCCTGTAGCTCTCCGGTCTGACAATATATTTTTTATCGCAGAGCTACGGTTCTGCAGCTAGCTTTTAATAAATTGTGAGTTTGGTAGTTAATTTAGTTCGCAACTTCCAAGTATAAAAAAAATTTAACTCCAGTTGCAGATGTCAAAATTTCCAGTTTTCATGATGGTGCCAGGTTCTGATGTTTTCCTGATACATCAAATATCAAAATCAGTTATAAAACCTGGAAATTTTCAGATATTTAGACTTAAAGATTTGAATGATGCACAAGAAGAGACATATATATGCTATTAAATCACTGCGTATCAATTGCAAGTTGCATTCTGTAAGTCCCAAAAATGTTTAACATATGATAAACATTTATTATATAACAACGACCTTGAAAAAAAATCAGCATCATGTTAAAAGGAGCATGATTGATCTTTTTCCCTCTCAAAACATTCTGTCAAATCTGTGTACAATATGAAAATAAACTATTTCATTTTGTAGATTATAGTAAAAGTAAATTGCAGAAATAACAGATGGCATACCATAAAAATCCGTGAGAGAATTCATCCTCGTTACTACTCCAGTTGTTTTTACATTATTATCTGGCTGTGCATCATCAATGGTGCATAGCTGTAAAACCCATGTTGCTTGCTGACGTCAGAATGAAATATGACCTAAAAAGACATTTCCCATTTTGAATGTTAGCACAAAAACGCTGAGATCACTAAGAATTTCATATATAAATACTTACCCCGAAATGTCATTGCTCAGCGAACTGCAATGTACCCCAATGCATACCCAAAAATGTAAACAACTCAACAAGCGCGAAAAAATACAAACAGTTCGGCCTGCCTAATTGAAGACCTACAGGTAATTGAAGACCTACGGAAGACCTACAAAAATATGGGATATATACAGCAAAACTGATATGATATTCTGATTAAGCATGTCCTAAATACATAAAATATACAAAAAAAAATTATAAAAAGAAGTTTTAAAGTGTATTTTTTAAGCTCGGTAGGGGGAACTACTTCTCAGACGACCTAATGCAAGAACGATAAATATATAAACAACAACACGCTCATTTATAGCAAGAATATGAATATGAAAAAATAAAAAATAAAAATCCAAATGATTTTGTTGATTTTTTCAATAATGAATTATGATAAAGAAATAATCTGGATCATGAATTTTGATGAAGTTAAAAATATAAATAATTATCATGATTATTTCATTTATCAAATTAATCTTCTAATTGAAATATATAGTTAATATTAATAAATATTGTAATTTTTAAAATATGTTTTATGGGATAAATATTAAATATTCAAGTTCAAATTATTGAAATGTATGCTGTGGATATGTCTCAATTAACATATATTACTATGAACTAAGGGCTTCTATCTTCACTAATCATGCTAATGTGTTGTATACACAGGCACCCTAGGGGATATATCCGTGTTTTGATTGCAATTATCAACACACCCCACTTGCTCTGATGAATGACTGAATGTTAATTTGCAGTCAACAGAGCAAAGATATTTTTTTTTTAAATTATATTTATTACATATCATAAAAATGCTAGCAAGAATAAACAAATAAAATCATTGTGCATTTATTCTGAATATAACTAAAATGATTTACGTTTTGAATTTTTTTTTTTTTAATTTTAAAAATGGCCACTTTTCTTTTTTCAAAATAACACATTCATATGACATTCATGAGGAAACTTTAAAAACTTAAATGTATATTTCCAGATAACATGCTGACTGTATGCATGCAAGAAATACGTACTATAATATGAAACATTAGGTTTTTTTTTCGAAATTTGAGCAAAAATATACAGTATATCAATCTTGAAGATATCGGGTATATCATTAAATAATAAAGTTGAAAGAAAATATTCACTTTTTAAAATTGAATAAAATAATCAACATGCATGTTATCACACATAAGAAATGCATGCATATTTTGAATAAAATAATGCTTTGACTTGGGGGGAAATGGAAAATTTTGAAAGTGATTGTGTAACTGCTAGGAAAATTCAAATTCTTTTAACGGTAATTTTAAAATTTTCATTCTCTATATAAATCCAAATCATATTAAACCTTCTAGATGTAATTAATAACATAACTAGATATTATTAAGAATAAGAACACAAATCATTCTATCACAATAAATTTTTATTTATGATCTTCAGTCTAAACCTGAAATAAATATTACACTGTCTAGATAAATTAACACATATATAATACTGGATACTCAGTATAACACATATAATGATTTTATGATTGATCATATGATGGTATTATAAATTATGTACAGTGTATATGTCTCTGCTTTGTAAATTTTAAAATTTTACTGATTTTTATAAATAATAATTTTTTTAACAAAATAGTATTGTATCTGACTGAATATTTCATTTTATTTTTATTTTTCCATCTTTGAAGTTTTTATCTAAAATATCTCCAATGATTTTTTTTTTTCATCAATAAATATTATTTATTTAATTACATTTTTCTGAAAATAACATTTTCTTGATATGTTTTGGTGAACAGCTGATTTGTTATTTACGCGAGTTATCGTTCTTGCTGTAGGTCGTCTGAGAGAAGAAATAGTTCCCCTTACCGAGCTTAAAAAATACACTTTAAAACTTCTTTTTATAAAACTTTTTTGTATATTTTATGTATTTAGGACATGCTTAATCAGAATATCATATCAGTTTTGCTGTATATATCCCACAAAGTAATAGGTCTTCAATTACCTGTAGGTCTTCAATTAGGCATTCCCCAAACAGTTAGCTAGCCGCGTTTCGTATAATTAACATCAACCAAAAATAGCATAACTTTTAATCTTTCATTAGTGTTTGGCTATATACTTATAAATAAAATAAAATAAAAATGCAAACTTAGCCCATTGAAAAAGAAAATATATAAAATTTCAATTACATCGGGCTCAACATGTTCAAAATATCCAACTTAGAGCCACGCAGTTTCGGATAAAGTTGCTCAACGCTGAGAAAGATATGGCAGAAGGTGGAGTTGATACTCCGCCCTGGGCATCACGTATTCAGTGCAGGTATCACCGGCTAGTCTATAGGCAACAGTAGTTCAAATTACTACTTATACACATAAATCATTTGAAAATGACAAGATTAAAAAATCACTTTGACTTAAGACTTTCCATCATGATTTCCATTTATGCATTTTTATCAAATTTGCATGTTATTGATGCCACAAAATGTGTATTCGTCACTACAAAGTGTGAACCGCTACACGACAGCATTATATGCACTAAAACCATCCAACCAAAAGAAGACATTCCGAGTGAAAAAAAGATCACCAAATTACAGTTCTTTGAAAGAAGTTCACTAATTAAAGAATTAAAATTAGATCTTTGGTTCACTCCAAATAGATTGCTTCACAAAGAATTTTGTAGCATCTACTTTAAATTTGGCAATGATCTAATTTGATTTTAATTGAGTTGTTGTATAAGTAAATTATTTTGCTAAATCTTGCAGATATTTTCTTCATGGTGTTTGTCGCCAAGGAAGTGACTGTCACTATGCCCATGACAAAGCCGCAAAACCATCAAATGTCTGCCGTTACTATTTAGCTGGAAGATGTTCATATGGAGCAGGATGCAGGTATGGATGGCTGAATGAAGAAATTAAACAAAAGTTAACTGCTAGGACCATATAAATCTTGGTGGAAATTCAGCTTGGCTAGATACTTGTATGACACCTTCACTGAATCTTGGGACAGTCCTTCATAATTCAGGTTTGGAAATTCAGTCCCAGTTTTGATGGCTAAATGTAGTGAAAATGAATGTGTCAGTCTGAAAATATTTAGCTGAGCTGAATCTCCGCTGATATTACCAAGACCACAATGTGTTGGGTATTATGATGTCAACTGGTCAAAACGAGATAATTGCAATAAATGAAAGAAAGGGCAATAGTAAACTCTTTTTTCCAATCATTAAATTTTATGTTAATGCCTAATTTCCCATGAATTTGATGGATTTAAATAATTATACCCCTTTGAGAAATTTGAGTGACGTCCAATTTTTGTGAAAGTAAGTTTCCCTGTGTTATACCAGTCTGGTGACATTAATGATCCCTATTTCAGAAAACTTCTTTGTAATCTGCAGACTTTTAATTCATGAAATATTAGTATAAAGATATCTTAAAAAGAATCCATAATTCCTTTTTGCAATTTTTAAAAATTAGCTTATAGGAGCTTGAGGTGAGCATATACTATTCTCCAAAATTAGTGAGTGTTTGTCTGCATTTTGTACAAAAACAGAACAGCCCTTGATGGCAATTTTTAAAAAACTTTTAAAAGGTGAGCATATACTATTCTCCAAAATTAGTGAGTGTTTGTCCAGGAGGGTCGAATGTGCACCCTTTGTTAATTCACAAACTTTTCACGGGGTATCGAATGTGCACATTGTTAATTCACTAGCCTCACGGGGTATTCACCCCCCTGGGCCCCCAAACTCTCTGCCTACTCAGATGTCCACATCAAAAGTATCCTGGCTACACTCCTGCTTCCTTTACCAAACTTACATGGCATGATGCATCTAGGAATGGACATTGGGTCAGACCTAAATTTTTCAGATAAGTGACCAGGTTAAAGTTTTTATGAGCAAGTTTATTTCTCAGAAACTATAAGCCCTGTCAGGATCAAGCATGCATGAATGATGCATCTAGGGATGTACACTACGTGGCCTGCTTCTGATGCTGGATCTCATTCGTTATTTCCAGATGAGTAACAGATTAAAATATTTGGAAGTCCGAACAGGTCCATTCCCAAGTAAATACATGAATAAGCCCTACCTGGTCCAGACTTGCATGGATGATGCATTTGGGAATGCATACTATGTACCCTACATGATTTGAATGCTGGATCTGATCTTTGTTTTCAAGATGAGTGATTTTTAGACCTACTAGAATGAAACTACCAACCTTGCTTCTTGTGCTGGACATGACCTAAACTTTTAATGAGTACATACTCATTTTAATGTCTTGGGAATACTCTTTCAGTACACGTGTACATGGCCACTTGTGAAAAACTTGCATGGATAATTATTCAGCCAGATATGTAAACTACCAGGCTTACTTCTGATGCTGGATCTGACCTACATTTTCTGGATGAGTGAACAGGTTAAAGTTTTTTTTAGGCAGATCCACTTCTGTCCATAGTATCTATAAGTCTTACTTACATAATACACCATGGATTTTGATGTTGGGATGAACATAAACTAGAAAAGCAAATTTTTAGTGCTGAAAATATACACACTTGCAAAGATTTATGTTTTTTACCAAAGTATTTTAGTGCAAAGTATTTTCATTGAATGCTTTGAATTCTCTACGGTTTATTTAAAATTTTCAGATATGATCACTCTAAACCCAAACCACCAGCAGTGAAACCTACTCCAGTTCAACGAATAATGAATCCTGTACAAAATACAGAGTTATCACAACTGAAAATGACATCATTGAAGAAAGGGGGTCAATCAGATGTGCCGTCCCTCCCAACCACCCCAAAACCTCCCGAGCAGTGGGTAAAGGCAACAGAATTTGTTCCTGGAAAACCGTATATATGTTCATCAAGTAAGTTTTTGTATGGTTATGATGCAAATTCTCCTGAGGATTTTTACAGCCAATTGATTTAATAGAACCATTTATTTAATGATAGACTGAAAAATAATTCATAGAAAGAGAAGTGTCATGAATTATTTCTTTTAAAAAATATATGTTATGGCCCAAAAATATCAATCTCTAGTTTCTCAGGCACTGCTGTATAAGATCAACCACTACATTCAGTGCACATGAACTCAATCTTTGATATTTTTCCAAGTTAAAAAACAAACTCTTCCCCTTTTAATCCATACTGATAAGACATCCAAAGGCCACTAAGACAGAAGATAAACCAGAAGCTTTGTATGAATTTATTTCTCTCCATAGTACCAGCATCTTATGCCAAAGCCACCAAAGATGAAGAATCTGATTTGTCACTGTGTTTTGGGGAGGAGCCTGTCTCTAGTGGGCAGTTATTATGTCCATATTTGGCAAAAGGGGTGTGTCCATATGACTCTGAGTGTGAGTATATCCATGGAGACATGTGTGAGATGTGTGGATTGGCTGTTCTGCATCCAACGGACAAAATTCAAAGACAAGAACACATCAAGGTTTGGAATTTTTTTCCATTTGGTACCAATTTCATAAAATGTAACTAAGGATAGAAATCTCTATATGATATTATTTGCGGGTGCCCTATAGTAATCACTCTGTCTGTCCGTCTTATCCGTCCACAAATTTTCTGTTTTTTCCTAATAACTTTTTTTGTGGTTGCCCGATTAAAATCAAATTTGGTATGGTAGTTCAATAGGCAAAAAGACATATTTTGATGCTAAGTTTGTTTCTCTATGTCCCCTGGTTTGGAGCTGGGGTGGAGGGGTTTATTCCTTAACTTTATATAAGAATGCTTTAGCAAAGAGAGATAAACTGCTGAAGATGTTTCCATTGTAAGCTTTCCTCCTGAAGAAAATCCAGAGCATTATCTTTATCTGTCACATTGAGATTAATTACCACCTCTGTCTGCAAATGAAGTTTGTTTTGAAGTTCAGTCAATTTGGAATGCTGTGAACACTCTGAAATGTGGATTTAGATATAAATGTTTATACTTTATTTTGGTGTTATGATTTCATTCTAATATTAATACTGAAAAAGTTCTTATTGTAACTTTAGAAGAAAATGATGAGAGAGGTACAATAAATCCCTTGGGATTAATTATCTGTGCTGAAGAAAATTTGTAGGCCTATCTTTATCTGTCATTTTAAGATTAATGAAAACCTTTGTCTGCAACTGCTGTTTGTTTTGAAGTTAAGGTCAAGCCTTCATGACACATGTATTTGCATTCATTGAAGACTGGCATTTTATATAACACTAACACAAACTTCATTATTGTTTATATATACATTCAATGTTAGGTTGTTCTTTACTGCCTAATGTAAATATACAAGGATATTATTTACAGGTTTTTGGATATTCAGGAATTATGTTGAAAATTTTAAGAATACAGTTGCTGTTGCTCATTTCTTCATATAAATCATGTAAGCTGCATCCTTATAATTCCACCCCATGGCGGGGCCCTTGCTGACTGGTCAGTTTTCTAGTTTTGTACATTTTGTTGCAAAATGCACATGATTATAGTGAAACCCATGATTTTTGGTCAAAATGTGAATCTTACATCAAATTTCTTTTATTCTTTATATATTATTTAACAGCTGTGTGAAGCAGAGCTAGAGGAAAACATGGAACATTCTTTTGCCATTGCCCGTAGTAAAGACAAGGCCTGTGGAATCTGTATGGACATTGTGATGGAGAAGCAGCCCCCTACAGAGCAGAGGTTTGGTATCATGTCTGACTGTAATCACATCTTCTGTCTCTCCTGTATCAGAAAGTGGAGAGGTGCTAAACAGTTCGAAAGGAAGATAGTCAGGTAAGTAACCCTCCCAACCCCTGGGGCCAGATCCCCCAAGTCATACAATGCTTTTGCTTTTGAGATGATTGTTATACACTATTTAGCATATTTATCTTCTTCATTGAAACTTTTAGGTCAATTTCATTAAAATCAGACCTGTATCATCAGAAGGGGGAGATAATTTAAGTAAGATACCTCATTTAAGGATACATGTGTATCTACCAGTCAAGGTCCTTGGGGGAAAATTGTAATATATGTATTCCAAGCTAAAAAATGGTATCAGTTAATAATTAGATAAATAGGGATTTCAACTGAAACTACTGAGGTGACTATCTAGGTCCTTAGACTTCTTGTTTTCTTCTTTGTTACGTGTCAGAGTGGTTTTTTTTCTCTGCAGAGCTTGTCCCGAGTGTAGAGTTAGCTCTAACTTTGTAACACCAAGCAAATACTGGGTAGAATCTGATGAGGAGAAGAATAAACTGATTGCTGGCTACAAGGAGGCCCTGAGGTACGTAAAGCATGTACCTGGTGACATTGGGTGGAGATACTAGTATATAAATTGGAGCCATAGAGGCACTGAATAACTTTAAACATATACCTGGTAGAATTGGTTGAGATCTATGAATTGAATGCTTACTCCATGTCCATCTGGTGGTTATTCATGTCCATCTGGTGGTTATTACCTTCTGTGAATAAACTGCAATTCCAGTTCAGTTATGATATTATGCAATTAATTGATCTAAATTTATATATGTAAATGTATATCTTGTTGACATTCTTCCTCCCTTTTTCTTTCAAAGAGGAAAATCAGATTTCTTAGTTAACTAGTTATTAATTTTTTTTTAGATGTCAAAAATGTCAACATACTGTATAATTTTTTTTCAGTAATAAATCCTGTAAGTATTTCAAGCAAGGCTCTGGAGACTGCCCGTTCAATGACAAATGTTTCTATCTCCACGCTCTTCCTGATGGGACGATCGCGGAACCTAAGCCTCGCGTCCGTCGTCGTCGACAGAATGCAGAGGGTGACGTTGATGTGATGGGCCGCATCAATCTGTGGGACTTTCTGGAGGAATATGACAATCGTTTGGATCAGCTGTTCCTGTTAGAACTGGAAGCTGAGCTAGATAATGTTCTACTGGATCTCTGGTTCGTGGGAGATGAGTCCACCGATGATGAGGAATTTTGATAACACCCTGTATGTAGTTTACTGGAGATAGTCCATTGAAGATAAGGAATTTTGATGAAACCCTGTATATTGTTATTGTATGAAATGAATCTATTGATAATAATTAATTTCATCTTACCCTGTACATAGATTGTTCCATGCTTATAACAAAATGTGTAAATACACTGTATAATATTATTTTATGTGATACTTCTTGTACATATAGGTTTAGGTTTTGAATCGCTGAATTACTTATACATGTGTATTTATTAAACCATAGGTAAGTGACATTGTTCCTTAAAATTTATGCGAGTTAATTGAATACACACATAATACACTGTAACTATGTTTTATGTTGTGTACAAAAACATCTGGTATATTATAAAATGTATGGAAATGAATGAAATATACAGAATATTAGTGTGCTTTTTTGTCACTTAAAGGGACATGTACACAGTTGCAACTGATTTTTTTTAATGTTTACATTTTCTAGCTAAGACAATTCCAATGATCAGCAAAAAATTGAACATTATTTGTTGATTTACCACGGAGATACAGAACTTAAAATTCTTCATTATGTAAACAAGGCTTGTGCTTTGTTTTTGTTTACATATAGAAAATACCATAATTTATATTAAAAAAAAATAAAAACAGATTCAGCAAATCAATGGAAATTGCAGTATCATATTTAGAATTAACTTCATTTTAAGAAAAAATTGCTTTGTTCAAACATATATTAGTAGATTTGAATTATTTAAACAAAAATATGTCACAATCGCTGTTTACATATCTAATTCTGTCTTGTACCTCGACAACTGAAAATCAAATTTTTGTTGATCATTATAAATACCTTAGTTAAATATTTGTAAACATAAAAATTGGAAAATCAATGGAAACTGTAGTATCATATTTAGAATTAACTTCTTTAAAAAAAAAAAAATTGCTTTGGTCAAACGTATATTAGTAGATTTAAATTATTTAAACAAAAATATGTCACAAGCCCTCTTTACATATCTAATTCTGTATTGTACCTCGAACTGAAAATCAAATTTTTGATGATCATTAGAAATACCTTAGTTAAATATTTGTGAACATAAAAATTGGAAAAAAAAATTTTAATTTTTAGCTGAAACTGTGTCCATCCCTTTAAGAGAAAATATGTGTAAAAGGTTTTATGAAGAGTTGAATGCTAATGACATGATCACACAGTATATTTGTTCGTGATTAAGATGTTGTTCATGTGACTGTGATATCAGTATGTTTATCTTCATTTGTCTTGATGCAATTATATACTTGTAAAGCATGTCACTATACGTTATGAAATGTATATTCTCCTTTTTCCCATTTATGAAGTAAACAGTGCTAAGTTTATCCACACTGTTATTATGACATTTACGTCTTGCAAGAGCAAGAGCTGATTAGGGCCTTATTTGGCCCTGAGAATTTCTGAAAAATCAAAACTTTTTTCAGTTTAGGTTGAAAAGTTAGTATTTATCAATCAGACTGTTTGTGACCATGTTTCTATTGAACATGACATAATTTTCCCTCTAGTCAATGCATTATAACATCACAAAATAAGGCATTTCCCTCATATCCTATATGAAAGTGTGAAATGAATCACAATCTATCTTAGCTGTAGAACTGTAGCTCTCTGAGAAAATTTGGATAGATACAGCAGAGACCTACAGATCCATGCATTGTAAAACCCTTCAATTTATGCTGCCAATTTTTCGTTGCTCACTTCAGGTATTTTTTTCTTGTAGTTTATAGCAAGTGTTTCTTTCTTTCCATATAAAAGTTTTTGAAATAAATATCTTCCTAGAAATTTAAACACGGGTCAGCTGATAAGGGGGAACAATTAGTGCCCATTGGAATTACAATAGTTCAAAAAGTTGGTATACAGAGATTGCTGTATGCCAGTGAGGAACTCTCTTTTAATATCAACTTCAGAGTGATTTTTAACAAATTTTAATAATGACCAATCAAATTCAATTTCCATTTTATTGAGGAAGCAGTTGTCTATAACATCTAACATCCAATTTTTAATAAGAATGGTTGTTTAACATTTTTTAAATGTTGTTCGTTTTGATGCCATTGGATTTTGAAAATTTATGCGATTATAAATTTTTAAAAGCTATTTTAAATTTGTGTGAATCCACATACTGATTTACACCACTTCTAGACAATGGGTCTGAAGTTTCTCCATAACGATGAACAGTTTTGTAAGAAGATTTTCTGGGTTTTTGTTGTTTTTATTTTTTTTTTTTTGGAAATCTGTATGAATGAATCGCCAAAGCCGTAACGGGGGCTTACGATAGAAATTATTTTGAAATGGGAAAGTTACAAGTAACTTTTTTTTTTTTTTTTTTTTAAAAAAAGGAACATTGTTGACATGTATGGCTGATCCTTTGGGGTGGGGTGGGATGGGATGGGGGCTTGATAGATCGTATACTTATAAAAGGACAGTGTCCATGTCAGTTTTGTTCAGTTCTACTTATCAGACCGGGGGATCGGAGTGACAGCGACGGGTGTCAATTTCACCATAGTATTGACATCAATAACCTTATTAAGATAGGCTACGAGTTTAATCAGTCCAAACTCCGCCTAACTACTAAACCATCCATGCACATCCCATTTCCTTGCACACTATCTAACCTTATTAAAAATTATGTATATAATTTTGATTTTTGTGGCTATACTAATCATAAAATGCTAATTTTATGCCGTACAAGTGAACACCTTTAACGTACAGTGATTTCCCGCCAGCCCCGTTTTTTAATAAAATATCTACGTATCAATATGCATTACAACTGTGATAGAAGAAACTCATTTAAAATAAATAATATATGCACTATAGGAAGCGGCAAGGTATCAATGCATAATTAGTTTTTACAAGTTAAGGACATGAAGGAGGTGGGGCTATCATGTAAAAAAATATAATTGGTAGTGCAACCAAACAATGCATTTAAGATTTACCAATGCTATAAAATGTTCATTATACTGTCTGAGCTTTTATAATAAAAGGAAGAAAGTGATCAAAAATGAACGAGTAGAATGTCCCATCTCCATGATTCCTCAGAAAGTCACGATCTGCCCCGGTACACAAACAGACGTCTACACAATGTAATAGTGATTACCGGCGCTAAGTCACAGAGCCACATCCCACGGGAGGCAGTGACAACGCACTTCTAACAGCGCTACCCGCCACAGATAAGATGGGAATTTCCGCCAATCCATGCCGGAAAGAATACACGACAAACAAGCAAACACGTTGATGTGTTTGTCGCGTAAACTTTGCAATGATGCTTCAAGCTTAAACAGTCCACAATTCAAATAAACTTGGTCTGAGGACGAACGCCATTGCCCCGGAGAAGAGTTCGGGAGTATATTTTCAGTTTTTAGTATTATTCTGTAAGCATGATATCGCAAACTTCTTTTGTCGTGTCGGTTTTGGCTGCTCTTCTTGGCAGAGTTTCCGGTGAAAATGTCGTCTGCACCTCCAATTTTGAGAGGATTCTCTCTGACGATTGTAAAACGCTCCATCGCTGTGTCTGGGGGAAGCCCATTAAGATGCCTGACTGTACCCCGGGTCTCATCTTTAGCAGGCAGTACGGGGTCTGTGTCTACAAGGGCAGCGAATTTGACGACTGCGGGTCCAAAAAGGGTCAGTCAGTTTTTCTGTACATCAAAAGTTTCAAGAATAATGTAAAAAGTATATTGGCAAGAACAAAATGCAATTTAGTATTTGTACTGGTTTATTTATCCTTTGATCATAGAATTTTAAAAACTGTGATTATTTGAAAACATTAAAATGAACATTATCTGAAATATATTGTCTTTTATTAATTTTCTTTTTCAACTTCAGATTGAAAATTAATAAAAGACAATATTGTTGTGAATTTTAAAGTTGCCATGTAAGTTGTAAATTTTTGTATTTACTACTACCTAGTCCGAAATATCCGAGATTTTCCAGGCTTTTTTTTCACGATTTTTATACTCAGTATTTTACATGCCAGGAATACGTTTGAAACCCTGGCATGAAAATTGAGAAAAAAGCCTGGAAAACATCAGATATTTCGTCTAACTGCCACCTATTAAATCAAAATCTACAATAACAGTCACTCAAGAATTTAAGCCAAAAAATAGTGAATCCTTTTTTCAAATTTAGGATGTACATGTATAGGTAGTTTTTTGATGAAGATTTTTTTTAAATTTAGCTAATACCAATGAGAGATTCCATTTGTTGATCTCTGTTTGCTTTTCCTACATCAGAATACTTTAAATTGTTTGATCTTGGAATAGCTTGAATAGCTTGTCGCTTGATACGACAGTATTTTTTCAAATTCAAAATAAAAATGGAGATATGATTTTAAAAGAAAAAAGAATATAATTTCAGTTTTTAATATTTTTAAAACACAAATCCACAATTTAAAGAAACTTAAAATCGCAAACCAACAACAAATCTGAAGATAAAGATAAATGAAATATTTAGCATAAAGATTATCACCAATAATAAAATGGTAATTTTTTTTTACTTCAAATACATTTGCACACGCCAATTTTTAAATGACTTTAAAGTAAAAAAAAAAAATCATTATTGGTCTTACAGAGAAAAGGACCTATTTACCTAAATCTTTATCTATTTTTTTCATACATAGCTGCATTTTTTAAATTAAAGAAAAAATATCTACAAATGACTTTGAAGACTATTTCTTCTTCAAACGTTTTTGAAAAATATTTGTTTCAGGAACTGATGACGCATGCGTAGGTAACCCTTGTAAGAACGGAGGAGGGTGTAAACCAACAGACGACGGCAAGTCCTTCACGTGCTCATGCTCGGCAGAATACGGGGGAGCCTTCTGTGAAAAGGGTAGGTACACTGTATATAAATGGTTTCTTTCCTTTATCACTATCACTACAATTTTATGTTTTTAAAATCTATCACAAATTATCTGTCCCAATTAAGTTATAAATGGACGGACTGCCAGTTGCTTTAATAAATGTATACTAATAATATCCTTGATGCAGACAGTACTACATTTGGTGACAGAAGAAATACAAACATGCTAAATGGTTTTTAGTATACTGTATACTTACTTTTATTATATGATGGAATAATTTCCCCATCACTGATTGGCTGAGATCCAACAATGTTAGAAAAATACTACGTAATATTGACCTGCACATGACCTGGAGGTCAATACAAGGAATTATTGCAAGTCAATACAAGGAATTATTTCTGTTCCATATTTCCTGTAGCAATGCGTTTTGTTGAAATTTCTCGTTAAAACTTTCAATTAAAGCAAAAACAGTCTTGTAGGAGTTTGCTATCATTTAATCATATAATAAAACAGTTATTGCTGTTTTTTGAGGTCAAAACGATGATTTAGGCACCTTCGAAGTACAATATTCACTTCGCCCTTCGGGCTCAGTGAATATTGTACTCCTCAGGTGTCTAAATCATCGTATTGACCTAAAAAAAAAACCAGCAATAATTGCGAATATTTCTCGTCGTCAATAAATTTTTCACCTGTGTATTTATTAAGAAATATGACTTCGGTCGTCTAAATAAGTATTACATTGATAGATTTCAAACTGAAGAGAATCGCGAATAAAAATTGATGTGAAAAATAGTTCGTTTACAGTGTGTGTATGTTATTTTTACATTTTTATTTTTATATATATATATACATGTTAGTGATGGAACGATTGTCGCCGACAATCGATTGTCGGTCGTTAGAAGCTCTTCGATGCTACTAATCGATTATAAAATAAATGTCGCCGACATCGCTAACAAAAAATAAAATTGTCATACTTTAATTTTATTACTAAATCCAAGTGCAAAGAGCATAAAAGTAGTGATGAACGTTGAAAACATGGAAGGATTCCATGTTGATACTTTTACAGCCGTGATTAGATCTGGGGTTAGACTAATACCAGGAAACGCTAATATTGCAAGGTTTTACTTTACAAAGGAAAACATAATTAGTCTAGTCAATCTTTAAACGTAATTATTAACATAAATACAAGTCTAACTTCTGGATAATTACTTTTAAGACTTGCAATTTTATTATTTTAACTAATTAAAACAAATTTTAAGAAAAATATACATGTATTAAATGAAAGATGGGACTAATATTAGTAAAATACCCATTGCATGGACTTTATAAAAAAAAATAAAATAAATTCCCATTCTGTTTCAATAGTCTTATATAGTCCTATATTTGTTTAAAGTAAACAAAATATTATTTTCCACTTTTTATAAAAGAAATTTCAATTAACATTTTTGAATATTTTATGTAAATAAATGTTGTTGTTTTTTTGTAAAAGTCTGACAGAAATCTGATTAAGTTTCAACTTTTCTATATTAATTTCGATAAAGTTCAAAATTTCGATTATAATCGATTATTAATCGATTATGCCCATCCGATTATTACCGATAATCGATTATGATTTTTTTCCGATTCCCCATCACTAATACATGTATATATATATTAAAGAAGCTGATACCATGTCCCTGTACTTTATCTATTGTCTCTCATGCCCACAGCCCTCACCATAGACGAAATCTGCCGGACTCGGTCCTACTATCGGGCTGCCCATCCCCAGTACTGTCAGCTATACTACGACTGTTCCACTAAGTACACCAGGGTACCGACGTACTTTGAACAACACATGCGGGAATGCAGATATCCTCAGTTGTTTTCGGAGAAAACGTTACAATGCGAGAACTATACAGAAGTGGATTGTGGAAACAGGACTGAATACAAATCTGCATGTATGTATCTGTAAATCATTGAATAACTTCATTTACTAAGGATGCTAGTGTTGGAAATTAAAGATTTACAAATATCGTCGTATGTTTTTAAGCTTTACTCTTCATAGCCTGTGGGTTTGGACGCTGTCATGGAGAAATTTTATGTTTTTAAGCTTTTGCAAATTGTAAGGCATTTAATTTTTTTCAGTACAGTTGAACTTCGATATCTCGAACAAGGATAGCTCGAATACCACATATAACATTGATTTGCAAGTTCCAACAACTTATTCTTCAAGTAGTAAACCATTCATGTCTCGAATCCTCGAATATCTCGAGTTATCGAGTTCGAAATTTATTAATCTCATTTAATTTTAAATATGTATGAATGGCAAAACTGTGCATGCAGTCTACATGTTCAAATATATACACGTGCGTGTATTTCTTATCTATACAGGTAACTACCTTTCAAGTCGGTGTGGGTCCTCTCATTGCCTGCCATGTTCGCTAAGTCATCCAAGCTGTGAGGGAAAAGAAGATGGCGTGTATCAACATGGCTACAAAACCGAGTCGCCGTGGTTCATGGTCTGCAAAGATGAGAGATTTGTCTCTGATGGCCTCTGTCCCGTGGATCCTATTCTTAGAGTGGAGTCACGTATATACAAAGGGGAATGCAATAGCTTGTACCACATTCCCAAGAACCTTGGAGGAATCATGCCCGACTGCTCGGGTCTGCAGGACGGGAATTATAAAGATGAGCAAGGAAATTTGGATGTTTACTACACGTGTAACAAAGGAGAGACTTTGGTGTCGAGGTGTCCGGCAGGTCACGTGTTCGATGAGAAAGAGGGAGACTGTAAAAAGGCGCAATAAAACTGAATTTTGAAACAAAAATAAAAAAAGTCTCAGTCATACATTTTAAAGGTTAAAGAGAATCAGTGTATTAAAAAAAATTCTTCTTGAATTTGTATACTAGTAATTCAATGTACACTGTAGTAATTAACAATAAAAATGAGGAAGTTGGAAATGCTCATAATTCCTAATCTTAAATACTGTATACCGATAGTCTGTCCGACGGTAAATGATTTCATATTGTTTAAAGCCCCCTCGAGAATTTTTCACTAATATGGAGATGCCACCACTTGGCATCATCATGGCGTGATGATAATCAGCATTGAGTCCTCTACCAAAATTGTGAAATTCATGGCCCCAGGGTCAGGGATTCTGGGGTTAGGGTGGGGCTATATAGATCATATAGTAAAAGTGCTATATTTCTTTGAAAATATTTTTCTCTTCTCCTGAGTCTTAAATAAACTGACTAAGTGCATAGTTATGATGAGCAAGGTTGCCTCTATTCCAAATTGTTAATTTTTTTGCCCCCCGAGTCAGAGGTTCTGGTGTTAGGGCGGGGCTCTATTGATTATATAGTAAAAATGCATTAATTCTTTGAAAATCTTCTCTGCTCCTGGGTATTAAATAAACTAAGTAAGTACATAGTTATGATGAGCAAGAATGCCTTTTCAAAAATTGTGATTTATGGCCCCAGGGTCAGGGGTTCTTGTGTTAGGGCGGGGCTCTATTGATTATAGTGAAAATACATTAAATCTTCGATTTAATTTGAACATATTTTATTATGTAAGAAATGCATAAACTGACTGGGCAGTAGGCATAGCCTTTATAAGCCCTCTCCACATTAAATCTTCGAGGATCTTCTCTGCTCCTTGGTATTAAGCAGATGAACTACCTTTATAGCTATTATGAGCAAGGGCCCTTCTTCCAGAATTGTGAATTTCAAGGCCCCAGGGTCAGGGGTACCACAGATGGGGGGGGGGGCTCTACTTTTATACTGAAAATGAATTAATTGTATGAAACTGCTCCTTGGTATTAAATCAAACATTTTTGATAAGGAAGGGTGCCTTTTCCAAAATTGTGACATGTGTGACCTAGGGGTCAGGGGTTCATGTGTAGTATGGGGCACTACTGATTTTTGCCGAATATTCCTGATTAGTTGAAATGCATTTTTTCCTTTACCCTGCCTATGGGTATTTTAAAGTAACCAAACTAAGCAATATTGCTAAGTGTATAGTTACTAGTATGATGAGCTGCATTGTGCTTTAAATGCCATGGTGTCTAGTTTAAAACATGAACCATTAAATTAATCATTGGAAAGTTGTTGCAATATGCTCAGGTGACCTATAAGGCCCATGAGCCTCTTGTTGTATTATATACTCTGGTGACCGTTAATGCCCTTGGGTCTCTTGTTGTTTATTCTGAACTGTGGACTTAGTTATATATTCATTTAAGATCTTCTTTAGTCAAATATTTTCTTTTCGCTATTCAATAAAAATAATTTACCTATAAACACATGAAAAATCTGCACCTCTTTATCTGCAGTGGTTTAGCTAATAAAAACAATTAAATTTGACATTTTCTGCCTGCTCACGGAAACACACGAGGGTAAAAGCAGCAAAAACTCTCTTATCAGCTGTGGAATGTGAAACGTCACGAATGTGTCCGCGAGAGCCCTGTACCTTAAAATTAGCATCATGGCTTCACAAACAAATGGCATTGAAATATTAGAAGAAAATGATATTTGGTTTGATTTGGATCTGGAGAAGGATTTAGATAATAAAGAAGATCTTAGTGACCATGAAGATACAGATTTTGATGGTATTTATCTACTGGGACCTTGTCATTCTCCCATTCCAAGATGAGCCTTATGCAAAAAAAATTCAATGAATTCCACCTCAACTTCAATAATATGGCAAAAAAATTTCAATACCATTTATGTTTCACAATTCTAGTTTGAAGCTCTTGGTCAGAAATGCACAAAAATATTAGAATTATTGCTTATCAGATATGAATAAATACATGTATAATGAATTAGTAGTATGTTTTTGGTTGACCTCAGTTGTGTGGTGTAGAAAAATATGCTATAAATTAAATAAATATGTATAAGCTTTCCGGCAAAATATATCCATAAATTAAAAAAAATGAACATATAACACGGTACCTCCACCCCCTTTCTATCGCTTCAAAAACCTATATCCTTTGTTAGATGTAATATATATGCATCCCCTATGTGTAATAATGTTTGAGTAACACAGTGTTACACATATGTTTAAATATTCACTACAGAATGTACAGTGTATAAAATTAATAATTACACATTGAAAATAATGTTTCAGAGACTGGAAAATATGAAAAGTTTGTCATATTAATACAAAAAAAAATGAGCTGATTAACAAACTTTGAATGATTGAGTTATTGTCTTTGTTATAATTTTTTAAACAATGTTGAATAAAATTCATATCATACGTACAGAAGTGCAACACAAGATTATTACAAATGGTCACTAAAAGATCTAAATATTATTTTTATATCAAAATTTTTGGGGGCCTAGATTTAAAGAATTGACTAATCTAACCCAAATATTGAAAATGTAATTTTAGGGGAAATTATTATTTCATATTTCTTTCAACTTTTCAAACCAGAATTGAAAAAATAATGTAAAAAAGCAATTTAGGACCCATTTTATTTTACATTATATACAAGAGAAGAAATTCAATTTAGGATATTCAATCATGTATATATCCCTCACACCATTAAAGCATACTACAAAAACTAGTAAAATAATTTCTTTTCATTATATATTTTAGAAAGTCTTTTAGGATGTAATGATAAAAACATAATGTTATGAATACTAATGAACATTCTGAAAGTTTTTTATGCATTTGTCTATTATATTGCCATTTCAGAATTGTTTTAAACTACAGAATGCATGTACAGTATGATGATACAATTAAAAATGTGTTATGGTCATTTTTTCATTTACACTCAATTTGGTGGTCATTATTTTTTATTTCACCTATAAAAAGAATCATCAAAATGTAACTCACACAGGCTAAAATATCAAGTAAGCCCCTAAGGCCATTTTCTCTTGAACCTAACAAAGACAGTCCACTTGAGTTCAAGATTTGGTTTCTTTTTAAATGGAAGATAGTGCATCCATCTAAATGTGTACTTGAACACCCACCCGCTACACATCTTCTACCCCTTTTTGTTTCACTGTGAGTATCAGAGGACATGTTTATTTACATGCTATGTAGTATACAACATTGAAGCTGTCTCTGCATCTGTTCACATTCTTTACGTCACGCAGCAGATAACAGCGGAAACTGCCGAGCTCAGATTACTTTCACCGAGCATTTGACATTTTAATGAATTTCAGCTAAACCACACATCTTACAAACGTGATTTTTTCCACAGGTGCTTGGGGACAGGACCCCCCCCCCCCCCCTTCCCGTGTTCCGTACCCCCAAGGATTATTTGACTTTTTTTTGAATAAAATATTTTTCTATGATATATTTTCAAAGTATTACAACTGAAAAATCCAAGATCAAAGCTAAAACTAGCCCTTTTAAAAATTCACCCTCACTGATACTATAACAGAACTAGTAACAGTGAGGGTGAATTTTTAAAAGGGCTAGTTTTAGCTTTGATTTTGGATTTTTCAGTTGTAATACTTTGAAAATATATCATAGAAAAATATTTTATTCAAAAAAAGTCAAATAATCCTTGGGGGTATGGAACACGGGAAGGGGGGGGGGTCGATCCTGTCCCCAAGCACCTGTGAACGTACACTCAAATGTTTCCGAGAATTCCGCCTCAAATAAAGGGGACGGACTTCAATATTTCAGTGTGTGGCTACGAGTTTTAGTTACTTTTAGACTGTAGCTTTCCGGTCTCTCAAAATATTTTTTCGGAGAGCTGCAGCTAGCTTGGTGTAAAATGCTAAGGATGGAGTCTCCAAATTAGATTGTCACAAAGTGCAAGGGGTGGAGCCTCCTACGTCAATTTCAATAAGCTTGAATCGACAGATATATTTTTGTTTGGTGTATTAATTCCAGAGGATGGTGTCTCCGAAAGGCTAAAAACTTATTAAATCCATGAATAACTGGGATGGGATAGCGCAGACCATTAATTTTACCAGTGTTAAATGTTTCTCTGGCATTCAGCATCTGTTATCTAACAATGTCCCTAATTGTTTCTAATATATATATATATAGTTCGTATTTTGGACTGAATCTCATTTTGTTGATTCTCAATTGTCTGTCTTTTTTGAGAAAAGAAAATGCATCAATGCACTAGTTTGTCTAAAAAATATATTTATTTATGATATATTTTTTTTTGTTTCATGCAGCCTCTTTTATCTTAAAAAAAATAATTTAAAACAGAACTGTCATGTGAATGTCGTGATTTTTTTCACACTTTCCTGCTGTTTTCATTACACTATTCTCTAAAAGATATTGTCAAAAAGTCTATACACAAAATTGACTTTAATGGGAAAAAACCAATTCATTCAGTTAACTTCAAAGAGATTATCCTCAAATTGTTTGGATAGAATGATTTCCGTAATGAAAGCCGGAAATTGTGCTGACAGATTTGATAAGCAAGAGCTAAAATTTTAATTAACAAGACTCTCCACCACTTGCACAACCTGACCTTAGAAACTCTAAACTTGCACTTTGTGACACTCTATTTTGGAGACTCCATCCTCAGTATTTTACAGCAAGCTTATTTTCTCTTTGGATAGAAAAATCCAAATGAGTGTTACCTAAGAATAGAACGGACAGAAAGGTTGAAAACCCATGCAGTTGGTACATTTGTAAGTATTTTAATGACAGCTGAAAAATATGTTAAATTAGCTTTAGCTTAATTACAGTTCTGCATTGAAACTCCCAAATTTGGTATGAACCAAAAAAACTTTATAAAGTCATATAAAGAGCTTACAATATGAGCAGACTAGTTGACCGTAAATAGTTATGGTAACGTATTTAAAAAAAAAAATCTGAAGCAAATTTTATATATCACGGCTAAAATGTACGACCCTCTTTCATTCT